GAGGGTGGCGGGTGGATGATGGGGTGGGACAGGCTTCCCTTAGCCCCGTGCCTGGCACAGGCACGAGCTCCATAAGGAACAGCCATGAACGTTCTTACATCATCAAGGAAGCCTCCAGCACACGGTTTAAGTCAGGGCTCAGCACTGACTTTCAAGACCTTTCCGTTCGGGTCAGGAAATAGGCATCAAATCAGGGAGCAGCATGAGGAGGGCAGGGCAGGCCTGCGGCCGTCTCGACTTCACCAAGGATCAGAGGTGCTGGGTGCTGTGTTGTTGTTTGGGGGGCGGGGGGGGGGTAAGAGCCAGATGGACACTCAGAGACTCTGTGGGTTCTCTTCCTTGGTGAGGACACCAAGGGCTGGATGGGACCTACAACCGAGAGTAACAAGGCCCTGAACCCAGACCCCAACAGCAGCCCCGCACCTCGGAAGACCCCGCGCGCAGGTGAGAATGCAGGTATTTCACTTGCTCTTGCCGCGCTGCTCTCTGCTCCCTTCCTCCCTCTACAGCATGGAGCCACTAATTACACACGCTTCAGCGGGCCTGGTTTTAAGTAAATATATTATGCAGAGTCAATAGAAATGTGTTCAGTCATGCTAATGAACACAGAAAGGACACAGCACTTTACTAAAACAAACAGCCTTCCAGTGTCTAAGTACTATGTGGATTGCAACAAACTGTATTTTAAATTGATTACAGGAGTCTCCTCCTTTCGGCTGACTTTGTAAAATCAGGGCCTTACATGCACCCAAACTGCACCTGTCCCCTGGTAAAGTCTCCAGGAAATGGCCGTGTGACCCGAAATGAAGAGGCTACCCCGATCCCACCCGCCTTGAGAGGGAAGACACCTGGTGGAGAGGCCTGGACAACCTCAAACAGTCCATGGCACAGCAACTGTGCCCCCGTCACGGGGAGAGGCTGCCCGCCCCGGATCTCGGCCCAGGCTCACCCCACAGCAGCCACACCGCGGCCCAGGCAGGCCCCCACCCTGGGCTTCCTTGCTGAACTGGTTCAACGAGAGGAAAGTGCAGAATGGGAAATCCCTTGTGGCTCTGCAGTATCAACATAAAGACACTGTACGTCAATTAGTTGTCAAAAATGAACACCAATTTTAAAACGAAGAAAAGCAGGGGGGGAGTGGAAAATTAACGCAAGACTACAGGCAATTTTAGTTCTCAAGCGGAGAAGCCATTTAAGAATAAGCAAAGGTAGCAAGCACACACTTGTGAAATGTTCAGTCTTGCTAATAAATAACGAGATGAAAATTCAATAAAATTGGGATAGCAAAACTAAGTAAAAAATTTAAAGCCTATGCTGGCAGGTCTGTGGAGAACAGGTACAAACCTGTGTCATTACTGGCACATGAATCGGTATTTCTGGAAGTTACTTTGGCAACAGAGAGTAATAACGCTTATCTTTATTGAGCCCAGCCTCCGAGCATGGCACTGTGCGCAATGGGTACCTTAGGCCAGCGGTCGCCAACCTTTCGGACCTCATGGACCACCAGTGGTCCGCAGACCACCGGTTGGCAACCGCTGCCTTAGGCAATTCAAAGACGAATTAAACACAGATCTTGCCCTCAAAGGAAGAGATAAGTAGCAAAGACATGAAGAAAACACATAAATGGCTAAAATGCAGCTAGAAACATTATTATGAGGTAGCTAATATCCCCCTCCCCATTTTACAGATGAGGAAACTGAGGCCCAGGAGGGTGAAGTCCTATAGTTCTAAGTGCAAAGCCAGACTCAGTATCAGGTGACTCGACTCCACAGCCCAAGTTCTCCACAGGCCACGCTGCACTTCGTCCTCGTGGAGGTAACGATGGGAATTCAGAGGCAGAATCACGCCCTTTGGCTTCCCACACTGACTTGCATGGCTTACTCCCCTCCTGCCCTGCAGTGAGTGTGTGCACTAAGAAGGCAGATGGGGACCTGGCCTACGATTGGTTAGCCCTGGCTCGGTGTGTGCTGACGCCGTTTCTTGTTGCCACGCGCAGGTCACCCACTAGACTAGGTCCTTGTGGAAAGGGCCGTATCTCCGTCACCTTCACATCCCGAAGTCTGCAGTGCCACAGGCACCCACCAATCTTTGCTGACTGTGGAGAGGAGAGCGCTTGCTTCACACTGGTGTGTAGGGACCAGAGACTGCCGGATGCAGGTGGGAGGACTTCGGCTCAGCCAGAAAGATCTGGGGTGTGGGCATTCTGAGTTGAGGGAAGAGGCATTTCAGGCAAGGAAAACAGTAGCAAATATGTAGTCAGCAAAGAAAGGAGCCTGCAGAGCACACAGCACGTGGCTCGGTTTGGGTGAAGTAGAGGGTGTTTGAATATGAAGAACACCTTGTGGAGGAAGGCTGGGCAGACCACAGAGGCCGAGGACCCAGCAGGCTCAAGTACTTGGAAACCTATCACAAGGAAATCCTTCAAAATCTGTACACACCCAAACTGACCTACAGACTCAACATCATTCCTATCAAAATCCCAGCTGGCTTCTTTGCAGAAACCGACAAATCCTAAAATTTACATGAAAATTCCAGGGACCCAGAATAGTCAGATCATCTTGGAAAAGAAGAACAAAGTTGGAGGACTCATAGTTTCAAAACCTGCTACAAAGCTACAGTAATCAATCACGACTGGCATAAGGAAAGACATATAGATCAATGAAAGAACTCAGGGTCCAGAAACAAACTCGCGCAGTTATGGTCAACTGACGTTCAACAAGGATGCTGAGACAAGCCAGGGGAGGAAAGAATGGTTATTCAACTGGAAATTCACATGCACAAGAATGAAGTTGGACCCCTATCTCACACCATTCACAAAAATTAACTCAAAATGGATTAAAGACATAAATGTAAGAGTTAAAACTATAAATCTCTTAGGAGAAAACATAGGCATGAATCTTGGTGACCTTGATTTAGGCAATGATTTCTTGGGTATGTTACCAAAAGCATAAGCCAAAAAAAAAAAAGGTAAATGGATTCCATCAAAATAAAAAACTTTTTGAAGGACAACAAGAAAGTGAAAAAACCCTCCACAAAATGGGAGAAAATATTGCAAACCATATAATTAATAAAGTACTTACATCTAGAATACGGTTAAACCCTGAAAAACCCAGGGGATAGGGGCACCAATCCCCCACATAATAAAAAATCCGGGTATAACTTTTGGCTCCCCCAAAATATAACTACTAATAGCTTACTGTTGACTGGAAGCCTTGTCAATAACATATACAGTCAATTAATACATATTTTGTATGTTATATGTATTGTACACTGTATCCTTACAATAAAGTAAGCTAGAGAAAAGAAAATGTTAAGAAAATATGGTTCCAGTACTTACTGAAAAAAAAATCTGGGTATAACTGGACCCACCCAGTCCAAACCCATGTTGTTCAAGGGTCAACTGTATATTAAAATATTCTTACAACTCAGTTAAACAAAGACAACCCACTTTAAAATGGCAAAGGATCAGAAGAGACCTTTCTCCAGAGAAGACACACCCACGGCCAACAAGCACATGCAAAGATGCCCAGCATCATTAACTAACAGGGAAACACACACCGAAACCATGAGAGACCCCTTCTACCCACTGAGACGGCTGGAATCAAGGACAGCGACATGTGCTGGGGAAGCTGTGCCGAAGCCGGACCCGCGCGCACTGCTGGTGGGAAGGGAAAACAGTGCTGCTCCTTTAGAAACAGTGGGGCGGTTCCTCAGAAAGTTAAATACAGAGTTAGAATAGGACCAGCCATTCCATGCCTAGAAGACACCTAAGAGAAATGAAAACATATGTCCACACAAAAATTTGTACATGAATGCTCATAGCAGCACTATTCACAACAGCCAAAAGCAGAAACCACCCAAACATCCATCAATTGGATGGATATGCAAAATGTAGTATATCCATATAAATGGCGGATTACTTGGCGATAAAAAGGAATGAGGTACTGATAGATGCGGCAACACGGAGGAACCTTGAAAACATATGCTCAGGAAAAGGAGCCGATCACGAAAGACCACATACTGCACGATTCCACTTACATGAAATGCCCTGAACAGGCACATCTACAGAGCAGGTGGGTGCCTGCCTGGGGCCAGCGCGGGTGCAAAGGTGAGGGGTGGAGAGAAACGGAGAGTGACTGCTAATGGGGCTGGGATTCTTGGGGAGGGAGTGAAATATTCTAAAACTGATGGCAATGCTCGCAAACTCTGTGAATATACTAAAAACCTCTAAACTGTATACTTTAATGGGTAAACTGTATGGTGTGTGAACGACTGGCATATCCAATAAAGCTGTTACCAAACCCTCCGATACATAAATATATAAAACCTTTTTGTAAAAGGTGCTTCAACACATGCTTTTGCAGAGTGGCACTGTGGTTAGAAGTGTGGCTGGTGTCAGACTCGTGTGTGTTCTAGTTACTCCCCACTCCGAGGGCCGCGACCTTGGGTGCATTCTTTAACCCCTAAGCAGTCACTGAGTCTCACTTATCGCAGATGTGAACTGGGTTCAATAATATCCATTTCCAAAGAGAGGTCTCTGAAGATTCAATGATATCAGGTATGTAGAGCATTTATCACAGGGTTTAGCATACAGAAAATACATACTAAATATCAGCTATTATAATTATTAACTAATGCATATAATTACAAGCAAGTAAAAGCAAAATGTCCAAAAGTGAGGAGACTATTAAGAAAATGAAAATATGCTACGAGGTGGTTGTCTTTGTTTAACTGAGTTGTAAGAATATTTTAATATACAGTTGGCCTCTGCAGATATGAAAAGTCTGGTCTACATGAAATGCTAGTAAAAACCCAGCAAAAATAGTGGGTCCCAATGGGGCTAAATATGGAAAACTCAAATATATATGACGCAGAATGAGACACAGAACTTCACAGAGAAATCACGTGTCATAAAGAAAAGAGTCCCTGTGTTCATTTTTATTTTACTGCTTCACGGTGTGGGCATCCTAAAGTTAGTTGGTAAGAGTAATTAAAAATAAAACAAGTTATTTCACATCAAAATGAGGCGACTCAAATACACCGAGGTTTCCCGGCGCTGCATGACAGCTCATGTGCATGACGGGCCCTGAAGAAGCTTCTGGCTTGTCAGTGACTCTCTGCTCAGTTCTGCTCAGCGCTCACACGGAATCCTGTGTCCTCTGATGGGCAGTCTTCCTGGTTCTGGCCTTTCTCGTGAGCTCCCAGAGCCCCAAATGGGGACAGTAGTGCACTTGTATTCCCTGGGCATCTTCTGATTTTTCCCTTTTGCACCTGGGTCTTTGCCAAGCTTGGCTTCAGCAGCACAGAGGATGCACTGAGGACGAACTACCACCCGCCTCTCCATCCATTCCTGAGCGACCAACTCAGCAGGAAGCCCGCTCTGGGGGAAAAGGACATTTGGCCCACTTACAGGGTGCTAACCGGAACGCTACAAACTCCTGGGAGAACTGAGTCAGACACGAGTTTATTCATGGGCAAGCAGTAGGGACTCCTAAAATATTTCCAAAGAAAAATGCACACAAAAAATATCTAAAAATAGACCTGGCGGAAGGAAACTGGCATTGCGATGAGCGGTACTAAAGGGTGACTCACGTGTGTCCACCGTCTCCTGGATCGGGATGAAGCCCACAGGAAGAGTGTCCTTGATGTCAATGAGCTTCATGTCCACCAACACGTTCCCTAAATGACTCTTGGGAGGAAAGAGGAGAGAGACAGACGATTAATCCAAACACGCCTGTGGTGGGTTTGCTGTTTTGGCTTCGAGATGCATATTTACACCATGACTCCTGCAGCTTCGAGACAGCAGGTTAGTTAGGGTGGGTGCCGCTTACTGTTCCCCAGCGGTCACACGGGGACTCAGTGGCCCGGGAAGGAGTTTCATCTGCAGAACCTCAAAGGCACTCGCTCAGACACGGCACGCCTTGGTTAGGCGGACGAGCAGCCAGGAGATGCCGGAGACATAACCAGAAGAGGGCAGCTGTGCACACGTCCCGGGACCAGCTCTCAGGCCCAGCAGGTTAGAGAGAGCAAATTCCTGGGGC